CCTTCCCCCTTCCCCCTTCTTCTCCTTACTTTAGTTCCTGTTTCCCTGCAGGCAACCCCAGCTTGAACTTCAAAACTCAAAACGTTTTGAAAATTTCAAAACATTTCAACTTGCCTTGTTTCATTTCAAAGCTCTCTGTCTCATTTTGATTTCGCTGTCTCGAGTTTGAAACGAGTTGAAACAGTGTTGAAACGAAACTGCTGGCGAAATTTCACACAGCTCTAATCCTTTCAAGGGTGATGTATGGTGCCATTGTTGCATTGTTAGGTGTGGAAACATGATGCACAAGATTAACCCAGGGATTTCAAATAGGAATTCGTAGTGTTAAATACATTTGGAATTCTTATGGTCCAAGTTCTTTGCCACATAAAAATTGCTCTATTATATTCTTTCCAAAAAAAAACAAGTGAAAGTGAAGACCTGGCATTTTCTGAGGACTACCTTGAGTCTAACAAGGGATGCTTTGGATCTAGAAAGGTTGAGAACCACTCTTTATGTGAAGTACTTGTGGAATATTTATGCATACTCTTTTAAATAGGTCAATAAGGATTTAGTAGCATGATTCCCATTATTAGTAATCAAAGCTGATAGAGCAATCCCTATATGTTGCTTTGAAAATTCAGTATTATCAGTCTTTGAAACTGGGGATTTTTATTTTGAAAATAGAATTAAACAAAGGTTACTTAAGATAGACTGAAGGCCTTTGAATATATTACTTTTACAGATCCTGTAGGAACTGCGTATTATGCCTGGTGAGTCACAAAACCAGTTCTGGTAAACTATTAAGGGAAACACAAGCAGCTGCCATGAATCCAAATGTTTCACACCTCAGTAGTCTTTGCCTTATACTTATGTAAAGACTCATAGAAACAGGGAGTGGCAAAAGATCGCCTGAGATGTACAACCAATATTGGGTTGCACAGTAAGGTAGGTAATATTCCTTGTCCAATTTTTGATACAATTAAATAAGTTAAGGACAATTAGAGGGGTGGGATTTTTATGACTGCATTTTTCAATGTCTAGATTTCTGATCCATTTATGTGAGCTTCCTAGTGATCCACTGCTTGTTAGGGAAGTATGATATGCAATTCCTACATTGGTGAGTGACTTAGACAATTTCATTTGGGAGAAATAGTCAGCATTTTCTTTTTGTTTTGTTTTATGAAACTTTGGAGGTTTTCTGCACCATTTCAGGAAATGTAACATTAATTGATATAAAGCAGCGGTGGGCAAAATACGGCCCACGGGCCAGATCCAACCCACTAGGCCATTCTATCTGGCCGGTTGGGCCCCTAAAAAAATTTAGAAAATAAATATTATCTGTCCTTGGTTCTTGTCAAAGATGACAGGAGCCAGGGGCAGTAGGACTCAGGGGAAGCCCAGGTGGGCTCCTGCAACCAGAGGGCGTGCCCGGTCTCGCCTCACACAGGGGCTTCCAGCCTGGGACCATGTGGCTCCTCGTGGCTGAACTGGCACGGAAAACTCAGGTAAGAAGTGGGGGTGGGTCAGGAGAGGACCGCGGGCAGGGAACTGAGCACAGGAAAAAGAGGCCCCTCCCCTCCCCTGGAGCTCCCTGCTGCAGTCACTCACAGCCCATGGATGGTGGTCCTGAGCAGGCACAGGCAGCCCCACGCAGACTGTGAGCAGCTGCAGCATGGTGTGCCAGCCATGGGGTGGGGGAGGGGCCACTTTTCCCCATGCTCAG